TATATATATATATATATATATATATATACTTTCAGATATGCAGCGGAATGGTACAAATTTTCACCAAGACTAAAATCACTGCTAATCATAACTCTTTACAGAAGTATTGTGTCGTGTAAACTGACAGCAGGGAATTTGTTTTCATTATCAATGGCAGTCTTCGTTTCGGTAAGTACGAGACAATCTGGAAAAATAATTTATAGTATGCAGAAAATGATTTGTACGCTTCTAAATGTTTTAAGGTGGTACGAACGGGTGTATCTTATTTCACGACATTGTTATCGTTTAAAAATTAATTAGTTTTGAAACATAAATGCTTAGTTAATTTTTTACTAATACTTCGATTCAATCTTCAATTCAGTCTTCGATTCAATAAACTGTAGATAAAAATTCCAAGATCAGCATTGTTTATATATTGTACAATACTTTGTAAGATGATGAGTAAAATAATAGAAAGAAGAAAGTTTGCCAAATACTTATATTTTTATTTAACAGAATCACATTTATTATTAAATATACAACTCATATAATATCAGCCGATACGACTACAATCATTATCACAGCATTTTGCAGGTAGACATTCGTAATGTCAGTCTCTTAACGAAATAACTTAACGAAAATTGTTAATTATTGTAGTAACATTATGCAGTTGATGACTTTCGTGCTTTCGAACGCAATTAACTAGCTTTTTGATGTTCGTGTAGATTGATTTACACAAAAATATATTTTTAAATAAAAACATTTGTTAAATCCCACAATACTATTAAGTTAAACCATATTCCAAGCTGTTAGCGTACCATATCTAACAGGACATGGTTATAAAGCTGCACAATATTGTTATTGTTAATTCTCTACTTTTTTACTTAACATTTCTTTAACGTTAAAGTATAACGTTCATATCTAAATAGATACGTTCTGAATAAGAAATGCAAATATTTGAATAGCAATAATTTAATAATTATTCTGCAAAGTTTAACTTTATTTGTCTTATTTTTTTGAAATAGGATATAGTAATTAAATGTAAAAGAAATACATGAAAACAAAAATAAATACAGACTATTATTATCTCTGAGATCTTGTTTAGAGAGTTTAAGTTTAATATTATACATATATATATATATATATTATATAATGCGAAATGTTTTTATTTATAAAAGAGGTCTATTAGAAAAAAAATGTTACTAATATTATTCGTTAGAAAGTAATTGATTGATATCACATTAGAGTTCAGTTATAATATACCCCTCTGCGTACAAAATATTATCGAAAGCACATTAGAAGCTAACCAAAATACAAGAAATGTTTAAAATAAATATTTTAATGTAAATTTTTTAATATTTAGATGTAAATTTTTAATTTAATAAACTCAGAAAGTTTTGGAAATTGTATCTAATAGAAAATTTTGTAACTTCTGATAAATCATTATGTTTTTAAAAGCAAAATTAATAATATAATTAAAGATCAAACATAATGACAATAATTTCATTCATCAGTGGACTTCGTTAATTTATCGAGGCAATCGTACGACTTTGCTTGAGTGACATATCTGCAACATAGAAAAATTTTCGTTAATATTTCATATCATCATTAATTAACAACGGCACTGAAAGCAAAAAGCAAAGATTATAGTAATTGTTAATAAAGCAAAGCAAAAACTAACCATGTTACTAGCTAAATATTAATTTATACTGCATGATTTGCGTGACACAACCGTTTATGCGTTGGATCTCTTCGAGCGACGTGAAGTATCAAGTTTCCGGCTTTGGCGCTTTTGAACATCTGTAATGCCTTGGCGTGCGTCAGCCCATCCAACGAGGAGCCATTGATCGCTAAAATTTCGTCTCCCACTCTCAAAGTACCTTAAACATTACACAGGTAAATCACTGCAAATTTTCTTTCATATGTGTCGTCAAAAAAGATACATCGTATTTCCTTTATGTACTTTTATATATTCAGTCAAGAATGGATTAAAATAGATTAAAATTTTTATGCGTATTTCAAGCCCATTAAATTCAATTAAGTTAAAAAAGAACTTTTCTTATTCTCTTTTTACCTTATTCTTTCTTTTTAGTCTTATTTATTTAATTCTCATTCCGTTCCATGAATCCAAAAAAAGAACTTTTTTTATTCAACTGGATTCAAATGGATTGAAAAATTGCATCTCTTATTCAGAATTTTTAATTGAACAGTATACATGACGTGACAGAAAAAGTTAATATTATTTTTACATTGAAAGGCATAGAAATGTGCTTCATGCAATTCCTATAATGAATAAAATTCGGATTGAAAAGGATTTAGTTAGAAAATCTGAATCCATTTCAATCTATTTCAATCCATTCTCGGTTATTGGATATACATTAATTTTATATTCTAAAATAATCGCTCTAATATTTCGCAAGAAATACGATACCTTCTTCTGCAGCTTGTCCACCAGGCATAATATCCTTGACAAAAATACCCATGCGTCCTTTATTGCTATCAATGCCGCCAACAATGGAGAAGCCCAATTTCTTCGGCGCTCCTTTTTCCAATATGATCGTCAACAGATCAATGGATAAACTGGACCCTCGTCGAACAGTGGACGCTTCAGAGTTTCGTTTTCTCATGACCTGGAACTTCTTCATACCTGTCATCTTTTGGAGACTAACAGTCGCGTCATCAACGGCGCGAGGAATTCTAGCGTTCGTTGAAGATCCAGCATCGTCAGAGGAAACTAACGATTCAGTTCTTTTGTTCTTCAAAATCCACGCGTCGGGATCGCTTCGTGTTCGCGTCAAGGCGTTGCCCCACGTGTCACCGATTTCTTCACCAAAAGCCGAATTCGGTTCTCTCGCGATTTGCAGTTCAACAATACCAACGCAACTCCGCAAAGCGTTTCGCGCCTCCGCCATCGACATACCGCGTATCCTACGTCCGCAGACTCGAACGATTTCATCGCCGATGCGGAATTGTTTCGATTTAACGGCTTCACCGTTGGGATCCATTTTGGCGATCACGTAGAATGGCCTAGCCGCCTCGCATCGTTCGACCGAAATACCAAGACCCGCCGTGTGGTTCACCGTCAGCTTCATCGTTTTCAATTCACGTCGTATTAGAATTTTGTTAGCGGTAGTGACAGGTTTAATAATGGAAGTGATAGGAACCGACGACATACAAATTGTCGTTTTCTTCGCTATGTTCCTCGTTACATCCAGTGTATCAAGTTCTAGAGTGGAACGCGATCTCTTTGGGCTGTAATATCGTAAAGGATTAGTCATCGCATCAGTTAAGGAATGGAGTTTGTTAGCCGGAGGGCTATCTTTACACGGAGACGCAGCATGCTCTAAGAGGTGTAATACACTTGGACTTGAACATTTTCTATTTTTGAATTTCTTGTCTTTCAGTAAATTCTGAAATTTAGCCATCTGAGATACGTTAACATGACTTTTTGGCGTTACACAAAGTTTTCTCTCATTGAAATCGGCTTTCATTTTAGCATCATCGATACCATACGCATCAACATCGTCACATTGCAATGTAACGTCAAGATCGTTACGGTATGTCACTTGGAGTTTTGTTAAATCTTCGTCGGTCAAAGCAGAAGTCGCAGATGCTGCTTTCATTAGATCTTTGCAAGATTTTGGCAAGAGATCTGGTTCCGTTTTAGAATAAATTCTCGTTAAATCCGGCTGGTTTTCTAGAAAATCGGCAAAAGTATCTTTATCGCAGCTGTCCGTATCGTTATCCTCTTCTAACATTAACGTAGAAGATTGAGTTGTGGTCAAATTATTGAAGGAAGGATTGCTCGCCGTGGCATCAGCGACATTGACTTTCTCGATCTTCGAGGTGCATGTTTCTGATGAACGTGGTTCGGTTACTGTATCTGTGTTTTTTTTCCTCGAGATATCACTGATTGGCGATAAGTCAATGCCGCGATAATCGTACGACGTTATTGAAAAACTACGCGGCTTCAATGAGGAGGGCACCGTCGATTTTTCACTGTCCGGCGAATCCGCGCCGGTTCGCGTACTATCAGAATCATAACCACTTTCGTCACAACCTATGCGCAGGTTGCTCAATAAATCTTCTAAACCAGTCAACGATCCGGAAGATGATCCCTGGGGATAGGAATTTCCTTTAACTTCGTTGACACCAACGTTATTGGTAGATTCGTGATCAGGCGTTCGCGTCGGAATCCTACGTTTTATTTCTCCTGAAGATTTCGGATTCACGCTCGTACCAACGTTCTCCAATGTTTCTCGTGTAAATGTGTCATCCTGACGTGTTTTCAATCTCTCGTGATTTTTGAGTATGTAATCTAAGACCCGCTGTTGCTCTTGAAGATCTTGTATGCTGCGACTCAGCTGTAATTTCTTTTGACGGAGAAACATTTCCCGATCGATTTCAGCGAATTCGCGATCGTTGAAATTCTCTGGACAAATTCTTCGAAACGGAAGCTTCCTGATCGCTCCTTCGCTGAGAGTTTTCTCCATCGGACAATGGCTAACATTGATGACAGCATCCTCCTCTTGTATCGTCGCGCTTCTTGTAGAACTTTTGCCATTAACAGAATGATCGCCGCTAGTCCTAAAGAGATTTCTTAAAGATTCTACTCTGGGAATTCTTTTTGGCCTTGGGAGTTCACTACTTCCCTAAAAATGTTGATTATTCGAAATATTTTTCGAAACGAAAATTTTATTTCATACGTCGTACAAAGGAAGGATTAGAATGGAAACGCGCTTTTAAAATTTGATTTGTTGCCAAAAATAGTTTTTTTGTCCATAGGGTAAAATCGAGTAAAATGGTCGTAAAGAAAAGATGGCCACAGATCGAATGACTAAAAAATACTTTATTCAGCAATTATTAAGAAAAAAAAAGAATAATTACAGCCTACACGGTCATCTTTTCCGTATAGACATAATACTCGAGTTTATTGTATTAAAAATTTGAAATTCTTCAGGCATCTCTTTAGTTTTTTTTTAAATTAACAATAAATATAAAAATGTTTAAGTTATTGACTTGATTAATTGGCAGAATTTTAGGAAAAGGTTAAATATTTCATATTTTTTTTAGGATCAATTTTTTTCTACTGCGTAGGCAGTATAAATACAGTTCGGATTAATGCGAACCTTGGTTGCCAGCATATCAATCAACGCTATCGTCGACTGCATTGTCGAGATAAAATCAATGGTGATGCAAACGCATTAATTCGAACTATATTTATATTACAGATAATTGAAAAAAATTCAATTAATCTGAAACGTTTGTAATACTTAACTATTTTTCTCTTTTTCTCAAAATCTATCATCCTGCCCAATTTTTGTTTGTATTATGATTAATTTATTAAGATAACTTCGAAATTTTTATATTTATTGTTAAAAAAATTAACTAATTTATTTGAAGCTAGAGTTTGGA